TTCTTTATTTTGTTTCTCTTGTCGGTATTACATACATGCAAGATTGTATTGTAACATGCCAAAAAAAAATTGATTTGAATATCCCCATTTTGACACTTTGTATAGAAATGACATCTGTCAAAAAGCACTCATTTTGGTAGCGGTCTTTTCTTGCGATTAGTTGAATGACAAGGAACAGTGGCATACAGCGAGAAAAAAAAAAAACGAGGCTACTTCGCGAATCTGAGTGGTCTATTGTGGTGGATGCACCCACTGCATCGTAACCAAATATTTTTGCCAACAATGCATTACAGTGAGTCTTCTTTACTTATAAACAAACACAATGCAATTTTCCTTATTGAAACTACACAAGGACTGACAAAATAAAGTTGTAAACTATCCATTAGACAATCGTATTTCGTAGACACTGTGGTCCAAAGCACTAAGTTAACTGCACATTTTTTATTTATTCATCATCAGTTTAGAAAATTTACTGCTGGATTGTACCAACGGGAATATGCTAGGTTTATCATAAAATTACTTTCTATTGTCTTCAATAATAGTCCTTTTCTATTTTAGACCGAACTTCAATGTCATTCCTTTAGTATAAGAAGCAAAAATTATTAATGTTTATATTCGTCTTCAAAATTAAGTTGAAACGAGAAATCTCGTAACCAAAATACCTAGAGATTTCTTTGAAGAATTTTCTGGAGGCAGTTGTGATATAATGTTCTGATAGTTTTCCTCGGACTTGCTGTCTTGAAACTAATGTGTTTAACGACGTTTCCGTAATATGTAGCAGACCTGATGAGAGCAAACGAAGGATTATGGAAACGTCGCCCAGCTCACCTTGTAGTCTCAAAGCAGAAACTTCATAGGAAACGTACCAGAACATACATACATGGAAACTGTAACATGGCTAATAAGCATAACATTTTTTTTTCTGGACAAACGGTTAAAACAAATAACCAAAATTATAATGATGGTATTATACAATATATGAATAATACAGATAAAAGTAGATGAGAAACGTATTTAATTAATTAAACTTAAGAAACGTTGATCATTCAGTGACCATATTGAGCATTAAATATTTTGAACCCTGATTACTGTGATATCAAGTAATATAAAATAACTCAAAATTTATTTTGACTTCATAAATGCAAAAATATAATGTTACCTAAAAATGGCCAAATACTGATATGAGTAACTACACATTAATGTAATATAAATTTCTCCAGTGATGGAATGTTTAGTCAATATTTTTTTAGAAAAATGCCTTGGCTGAAGATTTATCAGTTCTGTGCACGAGGCATATATGCCATCACCATGTGACGTGAATGAAATTCTTTATTCACATTGAATACGTTTAAAAACAATATTCTGCGGATAGCTCTTTAGCATGTATTCTTACACGATCCAATTGTCTTTATGCTTCCCCTTCTTGTATACAAAGCTGTCATTTATCTTTAGTAAATAACCAAATCTTCAGATATTAAAGATCTCCATCAAGTAATACGTACTGTCCAAAATTAAAGTCCTCAAGTGGGACAGCGGAAGGTTTACGGACCAATAATGTTAGAAGGGGTTGATTCCCCGCGCTGTATACAGCAGACAGCTCAATGTAGATTTGCTGTAAAATAAACAAAAACAACTAAAATAAAAAATGTAAAATTCTTATTCTTCTGTGAGCTTCATATCTGACAGTTGGCCACTTCAACATTTTGAGACTGATGATCTTGCTGCAGTTCAGTGATACCAGCTAAAAACCTTAAATTATTATGGTGTTTATAGTTGCTTCAAGTTTAAGTTTTTGTGATCAGATCTTTTTGGTATATTTCTGTGCACTGTATAATCATACGAAATTTGAGGTAAGCTTTGTGGAATAGTTTAGGAAGATTGTTTGTTGAATAATTCCCAGAAAGTCAAACAAACAGTTTTTTATGTTTCTGTCATAACTTCAGCTCATTTGTAAAATACTTCTGAGACATGATGTTGCAAAATGTCGAATCTGTTTCACAAATCTCCATTTGGCAATCCTAACTTTGGTGGCATTAACATGAGTAATAATTAATCACGACATTCAGTTTACCTGGATATTTTTGAGGTTACATTGTACTAACTCCAAAATCAAATTTACAGCAGGTGCATTTGGTAGACCTGTATAACATTTCACTTTTAGATCAGTCTGTGTGTGTTTCATAAAATTAGTTTGGCTAAATCTATGTTTAATAATTAATTTTCTTCTTGTAAGCACCGTATTTCATGGAGTAGTTGAGTTTTTTAAAGAACTATGCATTTTCTGTGCACTTCATCTATCACCGTGTTTTGTTAACTATTGCATCATTTGTAATAACCACTGATAGTTATGACAACCCTTCACTCGCAAGTTATGGAATTAGGTGACTGTTTAGACGTTTAGCAGTCCTTTCATATCTGGCCTTACGTTTTTCACCCCTTTTTTTTTTATTAAATGACCAAAGTCGGAATATAGCCTGCATGATTTGAAACAAGTAAAAGATTACCTATAAATAAGTAATAGAATAAATAAGTAAAATAATCTGCCATGGTTAGACATAGCATTATCATTTCTTAACTGTAATCACATTCTAAGAACAGTTGAAATTTTGATTACATAGTTAGAAATTACGAAAAACACATTTGCAAGATTCAAATCCAACACTTCTCTCTTATGCTTAAATACTCAGCTCTACATTTATATTTGTAGTGCTGCATGCAGAAGTAACTTGATCATTCAGCAAAATCATGATATAATTATAAAAGTTCTGGTATTAATTTTAGATTTCAATATCTGACAGAAAATATAAGCAAATTGAAATTATACTTATCTTAAAACATTGGTACTAGGCCTATTACATTTTAAAACACTACATTTTTCAAGAATTAGAAGAATGTATAATAATAATAGTACTCATCATAACAATTGTTATTGTATCAAATGGCTAATACGTTGTAACCCAGGAAGTCTGAAGAGATCTGTGTTGAGTAAAACGCGTCGTCGGTAGTGGATATGACAAATATAGTATGGTTGTAATACTATTATTACACATTCCTCTAATTCTTGGAAATTTCTAAAGGACTAGATTAAGAATGTAGTGCTTACAAATGTAATAAGCCTAATTCTAATGCTTTATGACAAGTATAATTGTAATCTATCTTCACATGCTTCTAACAGCCGTAAACACCATAAAAATACAAGTCAATTTCTGAAAAAGTTTTAACAGGCTTAATCACAGTACTAGTACTGCCTTTCAAACCTCAACATATAACAAAAATCTCTACAAAATATTTTGAGCGTTATATTCATCACATAAAACTTTAAGAACATATATTGTAATTCAGACATATAAAAGAAGTTGTTCAACAGTAGAAGTAGTCAAAACTATTCCTACAGAGCTCTGTAAGTTTAAATTAGAATTAATAAAACAAAACATTAACAGCTAAACTTACTCATTAATAACAAAATTTTAGGAAAACGTTATAATACATTAACTAGATTTTTCCATTACCAAACTATTTATACCAACTAGACTAATACTTTCTATACTTGTTACCACAGATACGATTTTGGTTATGAATATATGATATTAAATAAAATGTTAACAGATGTATTAATATTAACACTTACCACATAATTAATGGCATAGACGACCAAGCTCGTTGTATTGTTTTAATCCGTTTCTCAGTATTTAAAGGATTTCGGAAACATTTAAATCTATACTTTTTTGACAATTTGTTTGTTCATACAATGCCACAAAAACCTGCCAGAATAATACTTTTGATGTTTTTGAAAAAGTATATTAAAAAATAATCGATCAGAAAAATGGTAGCTTAAAGCACATACAAGTTTTCTTTTTCTTTTTTTCCTACGCAGACTATTCACGAGAGCTGTGACGACAAATCGCTAGACTTACGTGTCGTGAGAGCAGCCTGCGTACACGTGAATTATATCACTTTCCAGATGGATATTCTTCTTGATTGTGTTGCGTGTCTAAGGCACGTGGACGGCTGTTGCCACTAGCTATTGTGTTCGTGGATTCGCACTCGTTACAAATCACCACACTTTGCTTACTACAGCTAGGGTACGACTTGTCACAGGTCTTTTTCTGGATGGTTTTTTTGGAACCCCAATTTAATCTAAATTCTCTTGTTTTCCAAAGCCGTCAGGAACAAGGAATATCTCTATCATGGAAATTCTGAATATCCTTTCTTACATCTTCATGGTCTGAGAGTAGTAATATTTGTCATCTAAAAGGCTGTTACATACCCTTGTCACAGGTAATAAATGTTTGTCATCGGAAAGGCTGTTACATACCCTTGTCACAGGTAATACACGTTTGTCATCGGAAAAGCTGTTACTTACCTTTCTCACAGGTAATCAATGTTTGTCTTCGGAAAGGCTGTTACTTACCCTTTTCACAGGTAATAAATGTTTGTCATCGGAAAGGCTGTTACTTACCCTTCTCACAGGTAATCAGTGTTTGTCATCGGAAAGGCTGTTACATACCCTTGTCACAGGTAATAAATGTTTGTCATCGGAAAGGCTGTTACATACCTTTCTCAGAGGTAATCAATGTTTGTCGTCAAAAAGGCTGTTACATACTCGTCTCACAGGTAATAAATGTTTGTCATCGGAAAGGCTGTTACTTACCCTTCTCACAGGTAACCAATGTTTGTACAATTCTGATACATGATCTTCCATAATGGCGACTTTATAATGGCTCTAGTTGTCACATGACTTTGTGATTCACATTTTCAAAATCGTGTTAATAAAACGTCCTTAACACTCTGTATACCTTATAAAGTGCAGTATATTAGTCGACAAAAGACAAGTGACAGCTGAAAATGTAGAAATCGTTGTTAAAAATATTGGTGGGTGCTTATGAACACAGCACAGATGCCGTTATGACGAGAGAAGAAAACATGAATAAAAGATTCCATTAACAAACTTTAAAAATCATATAGTTTAAGCTATCTGTGATATAGTAGAATGAACGTACCTGGTATTACATCAGGGCATTTTTCTTCAAGGGAATCTTTCGAATCACTTTCGATAGTCGTAGAGCCTTTCCACTCGCAATTTGAACAATGCCTACAATATATATATATAATTACATGCATAAACACTTATACATACTGTATGCATATATACAGGCAAAACTGCAAGTTGTACAATCCCATGAGTAAAGTTATCGAACAATTACAAGTTATAGGTTACTTATTAAAGTATTTTAAAACAATAAATTCGCTTTAAGTTCGCGGTTAGTTAATACATATTTTAAACTTATGTGATTTCCCACTGACCTGTTTATACACTGAGCTAGTTTAATATTACTATTCAGAAAAGTAGCTAATGTGGAAGTTAGTTCTTTCAATTTTTATCACGTATAATCATTGTTTATCGCAAAATATATGCTCATCAAGTTATGTTGAAGAATTAATATACATTTAAGTATTGAAACTGGATCGTTTTTGCTGATTAAAGTTGCCTTAGACAACCATCTCCAGTCAGTAAATTAAGGGGCAGATCTTAATGGCCGGAAATCAACAGCACGGAAGGTTAACTTCTTCTACGCAAGAAAAGGTCAGGAAATAAAAATAGAATACATTCGACAGACAAGTTCAATAAATGAAGAAAAACTATTTCCGTTAAGTTTGTGATAGCTATTTATTTTACACCAGCTTTGAATGAATTATCTTCATTCAACTACCCCCTCAGTGGCTCAGCGGTAAATCTGAGCACTTATAACGCTAAAAACATTAAATTAAATTGCATTCAGTATTTTTTGCGAAACATATTTTATCTGCATTACCATTTTCGTCCTCAGATGGGACAGCGGTGAGTGTACGAACTTACAGCACTAAAATCAGGGGTTCGATTACTCACAGTGAACGCAGCAGATAGCCCAATATGGCTTTCCTCTAAAACGAAACAAACAAATAAACAAAGAGCATTACAATTTTCCCCTAGTTTTCCAACATAGAAATTATTTTGCGCCTTGACACAATCCATTTGGCTAAAGTTGACTACTTGTATAAGAGAAAAGCACAGTAATTTTCTCTAATATCAATTTCGAATAAATGTCAGTGAAGCACTAGATGTGTCAAAAAATTACATATTAGCATATACTTTAACATAATATTTAGATACACTCATAATCATTGAGATAACTGACACTATGACACGAGCGTGAATCAGGGTATTTTCCCAGACTGTGAATCCGGCGATTTCATGGTTCAAAACTTATTACAAAATAATAATAATAATATCAAATATCTCCGCATTCTAAAGCTATGGATGCGTTGTGAGATTGATGGTAAGTTCTCTGTTTTCTGTTACACAAGAGAAGTCCAAGTTTTGTCGATTGGTGCTGCTGGCAAGTTGCTGTTCCTTTAGTTTTTCATTCCAAATTAGGAACGGCTAAGAGAAGACAACCCATATGTAGAATGAGTGAAGTCCTAATATAAACAAAATGACAGCGGTACGTTAAGCCTATGGATCTTAAAGTTGTATATTCTTGTAAGGAGATTTAGGTTTTGTGTCCGACTACGTGTAATCGCTTAGTGACAACTAGAATAACATTACGCGGTAAATTATCTTCTCTTCTGTGAAAAAAAAATCCGTTGTGAGAAATGCATCAAATTTTTTAAGGCCTTCGGGAACGATAAATAACATAAATTAATTTTAATAAGGTAGTGACAGTGTCTTATAAAAACGGAGAATGCTGTTAAACTTGTGTGCCAACTCCTGTTAGCAAATGGAATAAAGTCAGTAAACGTATATATAACATATCAGTTATATAAATTTTATATAAAAGTTTTGTAGTTAAACATAAAGCTAAGCAACTGGCTACCTGAGCTATTTCCACCACGGAAGTCGAAACCCGATTTTAGCCTTATAACCCCATAGAGTTATCACTGGAAAGCGTGTCTAAGGTAAAAAAGATTGTAACACAGAGATATTACCTTATCTTAGAGGATTATCATACTACTCGACCAAATTCAAGACAGCGCTGAACATAAAGACACATAAATAAACCTAGGGTTTAAGTAACAGTGCGTAGAAAGTAAAATTTTAGAAAAACACTACACAGCGATGGTGATATACCATTAATCATATTTAACCTCTATTGCAAGCTCACATGTGAAATAAAATCAGTGCTAAACTTCTAATCAGAAAATTAAAAAAGAGAATTTAGGAGCAGACGTGTACTCAAGCTCCCAATATTCCACATTTAAAATTACTTCTAACCATTTACAAACAGTTTTAGGAAGGATTTTGCACTTAGTGAAACATAAAAGCTAAGAGAGTTAAAAATAAAAAACATATAGCAGGTTACTACAGAGTGTACAATTAGGCAGTAAAAGGAAGAAAGGCGTAGCTAGCTAGTTTACCGATACTAGGCAAGGTTTTACTTCCTTAATTTTACTTTCAATTCCTTAGGACTACAAAGCAGATGTAATAATATGTACTTACTTATCAAAACCTGAGTACATATTAAAGTAATAGTTAGCATATGACTACAAAATGAGTTCAGAATATTACAGATACGGAAATTTAACATGTTGCTTGCATCATCTCCAATTTCTGTGCAATTTAATGCTTGAAGAAATTGTTGCCAGTTCAACAAGCTTTATTTCTGTCATGATTGACCTCAGATATTTAACTTATTTGAATTTGGAAAAGCATATTAATCCACTAGCAACAATAATGAGCAAAGTCAGTAGAATTCGCGAGAGGACCTGAAAATTATCATACACATTTGTTCCACTATCAGTTGTCTCGCTAACTCGTAGACGAATTGAAAATCCATCAAATGTTTCAGCAAGTTCCTTAGTACAATTTTTGACAAGTCAGCAAGAAGTACAGGAAACAGAACAATAACCTGATTCTCTGGAGTGGCTGTGTCAACAATTTTGTTAAAGAAATTTATCCTGAAGTTCTGCTATGAATCACGAATATCTTTATACAACTTTAGTATAAAAAATGTCTTATTTTTATTAAGTAAATCTAATGTTCTTGCGAAACATTTTCGGTGAGTTTCTTTTTTCTTCAAGTTCCCTTACGCCACCAATATCTTTGCAATGTTTTCAGTGGCCCTGTACAGGTGAAGGAATTTTTTTTGTTTGTAGTTGCAGAATAGCTTGAGATGTGAGATAATAACTGTCTTCCAGTTGCTTCCTGGCGAGTTTGATCTCAAAAAGTTATGCCAAATCATAAGAAAAGACATAAATTTGGAACTTAGTATCTTTACTGTTCCTCTGAGCATGAGAGATTATTGTTTTCTATAATGAAGACCAAAGTAATGTAAATCTCTCTCAGCTAATGTCAGATTGCATGAACATTATTACTTATACTTTCCCATTGCATGTCATTGAATAGCTACACAGTTAACCGATAAAAATGTTGTACCAATACTTCCTGATGATTTCAAATAGAGAAGCGGACTTAGATACTGAGAATTAAGTCGAAGAATATACCTACTACAGTGTAACAGTAGACTGCATCATTCAAAATGTTATTCAGAGAGTATGCATTGCATGTTACAAATAGTGGCATGGTACAAAAAAATATTGGATTTAAGTCAATAATTATTTTTAAGAGATCACTGTTCGTGAGTTTCACGTTGTCTCTTTTGTCATATAATTTTGTCAGTCAGTCAGGAGAAGTTATATTTCCTCACATATGCCTAGTAAACCTTGATCATATCAGTTCTACTTGTTTCTTTTAGCACAAAGTTCAAGGAAATGCTTATAGATTTTGACCTAACCATCTCCTCTTGCAGATGCCCCAGTAGCTGTAACAAACCAGATGATCATTCTGTGTAGTTTTAATTACAGAGTACAGTCGAGCACAGTGAAGATTTACGTAACATTTCTAGTAACAGTCAAAACAAGAGTCTGAATTATCTTGCACAGAAATTGAATTAACTCATTTTGGATGCCCTTCCCCAGACCGTAATCCTACTTATGATTTTCTTGTGTAGTAATTCTTCTAAGATTGCGAATCGAGCGCCCTAACCACCTGGCCATGCCAAGCGCATTTGTTTAGTTTCATAACAGTGAAAAGTTAGCTGCACCGAAATTTATTGAAAACTAAAAATACTGAATCCTGTGTGACTAAGAATTGAACCCATTGTTTTAGTCGTTAGTTTTGGTTGTTATATCTTCCTATGTAATAATTTGTTGAAAGTTCTTTCCTTTCCATTGTTGTAATGGACGCATTTCGACAAACAGCTGTGTTGGTTTTTGGTCATTTAGCTGGATCAGCCAAATCAAATACACATGTGTTTTCGGCTTCTGTCTTCGTTTCTTCTTTAATATTGTATTTGTCATGAACAGCTATAATTTCTTCAATTTAGGATACAGAATAACAGAAAATTATAACGTTTATATTTTCACTAGTTTTTAGCACCAGTGGTTTCTTGACTCATTTTAACGTTAGACACTTTACTTTCTTTTACTGTGTTTTCGTTAAGCAGCTCTATATTTTGTTACACTAGGGGTTGCCTAGTTTTTTATCCGATAGCGCTGTACCTTTCCAGCTATTTTAATAATCACATATCTGTATAAACAGCATAATGAAACCTAAGTCGTCTATGTCAATAAGTATTATTACTAGCAGAATGAGAGATAGGAATTTCTCTTTGAATTTCCCAAATGTTGGTAGGACACCCATTTTGCGTGTTTCTTACCTTTGATTGAGTTTCAACTAGAAAATTTTACATGTACAAGTCATTCTCGTCCAAATTGTCTAGGCGGAATTGAATAGAGAACAGGCGCTAAAAGCTGGTAACGTGTGAGTAGTTCTATTCAGGCTAAACTATCAACAAACATTTCAACGGTTCAGATATTTCATTTATATCAGCGCAAGTGACTGGAATTCAATAAATTTCAACTATTTATGGCAGCTGCTTATGTTTTATACAACAACTTCTTACCGCACGATAGTGATATAAGAAAGGCAACCTCAAGCTGACTTGAATTGTCACAGAAAATGTTAAAAAAATAAAGAAACTAAGGAACAGTGACTACCTAGTTTTCATTTCAGTGCTTATAAAAGTGCTTAAAACATCATGCAAGAAAAAAAGT